GCACATGCTCCCCCTCTGTGTCGGACCGGAGCAGAACGAATTGGGGCACAAACGAACAGCTGGGAACTGCACACCGCAGCGCAGCGGAGTGGAGACGCATGTAGTGTAAATCCGGGGTTAGAACTAGTTCCATCACTTTTTGGCATTAATGGTGCCTTCACATGTGCAGTTACCCATCTAACCACTAACACATCCCATACCATCAGAGAGGCTGTCTTTTGAACTTTGCACTCCTAACAGTCTGGACTGTCCTTTTCCTCTTTGGCTTGGAGGACACCATGTCCACGATTTCCACAAACTATTTGTTTTATGAACTTGTCAGACCACAGGACACTTTTCCACTTTGTGTCAATCCATGTCAGATGAGCTCAGGTCCAGAGAAGCCAATGGTGTTTCTGGGTGTTGATATGTGGTTTTAGCTTTGCATGGTAGAGTTTTAACTTGCTATTGTAGACGTAGAGATGAACTGACAATGGTTTTCTGATGTGTTCCTGAGCCCATGTGGTAATATCTGTTACAGAATAATGTTGTTTTTTATTCAGTGCCACCTGAGGGATCAAATATCATAGGCATTCAATGTTGGTTTTCAGCCCTGCCACATACTTGCAGAGATTTGTCCAGATTCTCAAAATCGTTGGATGATATTATGGATTGTAAATGATGAAACCCCTAAATTCCTTGCAATTACATTGAGAAACATTGTTTTATGGCAGCAATCCGCTTTAGTTAGACAAGTCTACTCAGTGGCTCATTAGTCAATCAGAATTAAACTCAAATTTGATCTCATCCAAAAAGCTTTCTAAACCATGTAAAATATTTGTTCATTAAAACATTTTTTACAGAACTCTACTTCAAAAGATTTGAACAATTTAGTTTATAATGAAAAAAGTGAACTGAGTAAAACTCTGCTCGAAAGACTAAAAAAGACAGAATGAAATTAGATGACAAGCATGGATCATATTTCTGTGCTGTGGTGCAGTGCTCACAGCCATAAAATCTGTTCCAGGGAATCAGATTTCCAACATCTATTCATTCTGAATAAATCTAATTTAATATCAGTAGTGCTATTTTTAGCCTTTTTTTAAAGCTTTTGCACAAGCTTAGTATTTTCTGTGTTCCTGTGGAAATTTAAATGTTCCTGCCTCCTTTGTCCAGGTGCTCCGTGTTTTTTCTGTCTGGAGACGCCGTTTGAGCGAAAAATTGTCTCATGACACACAATTCTTGGACACGTCTAACAATATTTAGAGACAATATAAAAACTCGCCGCTAAGCCAGTCATTTTGAGAGTAGATTTGTGTGTTGCAGCACAGACAGACGCTCGCTCTGTTTTCCTGAACGCCACCTGCTCTGAACGGCGTCGTGATGATATCAAAGCCAATATCAGATTATCAATCGGGAGATGAGGCGTGACCTTTACAGAAGCCAATCTGCGTGCTTGTTTGTGTGTGCTTGTCTGTTTCCAGGCAATTGTCCCGAGCTCATTATGTCACAGTGCATATCCTCTCTCAGCTGCAGGCCTCATCCCTCTCTGGGTTGTGTCAACACGTTTAATTATTGTTAACCCAAAAGAAAATCAGTTTTCATTTGAGTTTTTTTTTTGTTGCTCAGATTAGTTACAATAAACAGTATATTTTGTATGCTTTATCAATCAAAGTATTTCTGTAAACTTTAGGCTATTTTAACCGATCATGTATCAACAACTTCAGCTCAATTGAGAATAGTGCTATGACTTTGAGTTTCTGTATTGTTTAGGCTGTTTGACCTTCATTTTGTCTTCCTACGCTTCTGTTCGGCCACTCAGTTTAGCTGATATTTTGATTGTTCTATTAGTGTTGTTTAGCGTTTTTTTTAGCTTTTAGCAACATATTTGCTACTTTCCGACTTTAACTTCTGAGTTTTTATTTTTAGCTCAGGTTTTGCTACTACTAGCATTTGTTTTACTAATTTTAGCTACATTTCTGCTTATTGAAAATTCTAGCTACTGTTTTTTTCTGCTTTTCGCCTGTATTCTGCATATTTTAGCTTCTTTTTCCTTGTTTTAGCTGTAGTTCACAAATTTCAAAGTCATTCAGTGCCCAGCTTTTTACATAAAATCCTTTACATATTTTTAAGCATAAAATAGCAATATTTTAGCCAGAATAACTTGGCAAAACTGATGGCAACTGTTAAAGCTAGTAATATCATTTGCTTGAACTTCTAAGAAACTTTTGAGATTTGTTTTAAAGGAAACGAATCCTTCTTTTCCACATTTAAAACCTTCAGTTTGCTAAATAGAGAGGAGCTGCAAACCTTTGGTCTGAATTCCTCTTTATTGTAACTCCACAAGCTCCACTTTCACCCCTTTTCTGAGGTTTGTCTCAGATCAACTCGTTTTGAAGCTGTCTCTTTAAATCCAAACGAGGCCCTTCACACCTCAGAGGAGTTCATGCCTATATAGTGGCACAAAAATGTCTTATTTACAAATTACTTAAAAGATGTCAACAAGGAAAGACTTGACAATCCAGCCTTACTTAGCCTTATGGAGCAAGAAGCCAGAGGAGAATGAAGACGACCAAGTTGTAGAAGTAAGTTCAAACGTTTTTTGGCAGTTTTGTCGCAAATACTGTAGCATAATATTTCACTCAGAGAGACTGCAAGTACACAACAAAATGTATTTAACAGCTAAAAAAGTAGATTTTACTTCATATGTTCCCTTCGAACAGCTCAGGCTAATGCTAACTAGCTATTAGCTCCCCAATCTGATCTCCAGTCTCTTTTTCTATATTTATCTGTAAGAGAACTCCAAAGCAATGCAATCTTGAAACTTACGTTTAGACCCAGTTTTGCTCGAGAACATTTCTGATTTTTTCTATCACTTCATAGGCGCATGTCCCCGTTTTTCTCAGTAGATTTGCAGTTCAGGTCATCTCATGGCTCACCACGCAGAGAGCTGGAGAGAGTAGCTTTGCTGGGTATGAATAGCTCGGCTAATCAGAGCAGAACACAGAAACGAGCTAAAAAAACAAGCTGGACCGATACTTCTTTTGACAACGTAAAGCTGATCAAACGAGGAGAACCCAGAGTTGGACAGGATTGAGGTCAGTTGGAGGATTTCTGCTACCATAGTTAACTCAGGGTTTACACAATAAGAGAGCCTTTCATGGTATTTAGTGGAGATTGTCCTCTCAAGAAGTTTTTTTTGTCTATTTCAGCTCATTTACTGTCACAGTCTGTTTTTTGTCCTTCTTTGTGAAATTCCTCAAGAATTTTGTGAGGAGTTTAGCTGCCATGCCAGCTGTTTGTTTTTGTTTAAAAGAGATTCGTGTTATTTCTTCAAGCTCCTTATTGCAGATCTGCATTCTTGAATCCAACCTCCTGAAACCGTGACATTTACAAGGAACCGCATCATCATCACTGCTCAGTTTCCCAGCTGGCACCGTATTAATTCACGATTGTTTTGCTTGTTTTCTTTTTTTTTTTTCAAGTGGCTGCTGGTTTCATTATATAAGCAAAATATGCAAATCAGCCTGCAGAGACACCACCATGTCTCGCTTCATTCGTGTCAGATTTAAAGATCTGGGTTTGACAACATTTGATAATTTATAGTGATCCAGTCTTGTTAATTCTACAGAACATTTATAGTTTTTATCACCTCGCTCCTTCAGGATGGGAGAAATCCCAGCAGCGCCCGACCTTCAGCGATTATCTCCCAACTTGACAAACCTTTGGGCTCTAATTGAGTTCTGTCATTTTCCACTTGATATAAGAGCACTGCATCTTCCACCCAGTCAGCCCCTGAACATTTTTCTTTTTGCATTTAATCTCCCTGTCAATATTTCTATTATAAGCTGGACCTGTGCGCTGCTCACAGGCAACCTGAGGGACAAAATCTTTGAAATTGCAAGAATGTTTAACCCACAGCGTTCAAG